TGCAAGAAAAAAGTCATCACCTCGCTAAAGAGCCACATTTCTCTAATATTAAGTTAAAATAATTACTTATTTTACTTTATAATCATTTAAATTCTTGTATGAAATTGCATAAACAACATTTCTGATCTGATAATGAATTTTATTAATTCATTATCAGATTCATTAATTCATAATGAATTTTCCTCAAAAAACATTTAGTGAACATTATCCTCAAGCTTTAAAATAAACATTTGCCTTAATGACACAGAGTCGGATCAATGTGACTCACTTCCATCTCAAGATACAGAAACATCCACAGCACTCTGGAAATAGTTCCCACTCCTGTCTTTTTCCTCTTTCAGTTTTTAGTGCTCACCTAAAAACTCTAGTTTATTCGACTCTTTTAGGTTTGACAAAATGAATAAAAAGTTAACACAGCTCAGTACTGTAAATGGCTCTTTCACAAACTCACACGTTTAGGTTCAGAATCTAAAACTATAAATGTATTTGACTTAAAGACAACAGACACAACTATGTGGCTCAAATGTTTTACAGTGTGGGTCTGTCCAGAGTCTCCTCATATTGAAATCAATCCCAGAAAACTTTCAATGTGAAGCGAGTTTTCCAAATCAAATGTTCAATCTGTGCCTCATTTTTATGGACGAGTAGGCCTGTCACGATAAACGATAAATCAGTTAATCGCATGATAAATTAAACCTATCAACTTCATTTTAATTATCGACTTTATCGTCTCTTCCTGNCTNTNTTCTTTCTGTTGATGACACTGAATGAAAAAAGGCTCAACTCCGGTGCTCTCCACTGACCCTCCCTTCCTTATTTCCTTTGTGTAATGTCCAGCGGACACGACTCAAGTTGTCGGCCCATTTTCAAAACCTGAGAGACACATTAGCCGACAGAAATCCTCGGTATAATGGTTCGATCGGGTTCGTCGTGCCGTGTGGCGTCCAGCCACCTGGGCACAAAATAATGGCTACAAGTCCAGTTAACTAATTTTAAGACCAGGCATTAATCAATGCTTTACTAGAATCTATCTGTGATGCATGTGGCTAGAGTCAGCAGAAAGTCCTGACTGAATGAAAATCATTATAACCTATTTATGTCACGTTAACGAAGAACAGCTGAAACATTACCGGGTTTATCAACTGCGGTAGCAATTTGGCTCCAACTCCTCTCCTTGTCATTTCTATATTCTTTGCATGAAATGTTGAATAAACGTTAATGTTGTTTCCACATATCATCTCCAATGTCCGCTGGATTTTGGGTTGCGCCGTGTCAGCTGTTTGGGATTCCCCTCCGTAATTTCCCCTCAGAAAGCACAGAGGAGAATCCGCACTTTCTGATTGGCTACCTGTCACATTCAGCGTTAAGCTCCCAGTCGGGGAAAAACCCAGATTTAGATTGGAGCGGCCACAACGATCTAAATGATCGGTTACGAAATCACCAGAGACAATCTTAGATCAACCAACGATCTAAGATTGTGATAAGGAGAAAATAGGGGCAAAAAATCGTGTAGTGTGAACTACTGCATCAGGTGGTCGGATGTGCCCATCTTCTCTATTTAAATCTAGTGATTACTGAAGGGCAATACAGACTTCATAATCTGCACTCTTTTGGTTGAATGCAGTATTTATTTCCACTTTGGCTTTATGTTGTTTAGTTTTTATTCAAGTACGTTTTTTGTTAATGGAGTCTGAGAATCCATTTTGTTTTTGGTTGTTTTGTTTATTTAGTTTATCAGGTCCAGTGTTATGTGTTCTTTTGAAAATAACAGTGTATAATAGTGTATCTATCTACGGCAGGAAATCACATGCATTATTAGTCATTTCCATTAAATCAGAGTCAAAAGGTCTTGAAACAATATTATTGTTTATCACAATAATTTTTTAGACAATTAATTGCTCAGCAAAATTTGTTATTGTGACAGGCCTACAAGTGATGCTCTCCTCCCCTCCTCTGTCTCTCAGGCTGAGAAAGTAGCAACATCTTCATTATTACATAAAAGACCTGATTCATCAAACTCAGTCTCCCAGTCCAGCCTGATATCCGTCAGGCCTTAGTCACCAAGATACTCAGACTTCTCCATTTAAGGCAAGGGTGTCAAACTCAATTTCACCGAGGGCCACTTCAGCATATTGGCCCCCCTCAACGGGCCACATTGA